TCCCACTGCTCACTACCACAACCATCTCTTCCGCACTTCCAGCTCTAGGGGTGGGAGAGGAGCACAGCCGGCGACCCAAATCGCAAGGCGGTGATGGCGAAGCCTGCAGCAGAGAGGCTAAAGTAGGCAATCGCTCCTCATCGCTTTCCGCAGGGCTCGCCTTGCTTTCCGCCATACCGCCTTCTCCCTGGAGCATCCAGAGGGGAAGCTCGGCGCCAGCAGCGATTGGTCGGAAGACGCGCACGGCTGGCGGCGATTGGTCCTCGCGCGCTCCCCGCCCTCCCACCGGAAGGGGAAGAAGATGGCGGTAGACAAAATGGCGGCGCTGCGGAGGTTATGTGAGTGAGCGGTTACCTTCACCTCCATCATCACCCCCTTCGCAGGGTGGGGAAGGCCGGCTGTGGGTGGGAGGTTTTGCTCGGGAAGGGATGGGGTGTACCCATCGGTGCTGTCGGTGTCTCGGGGTCGAACTCTTCGCTTTTTACCTCAGGCCTCGGCGGTGCTGTGGTGAAATGGGCGGGTTTCAGGCCCCGAATCACGGGGTTATCCATGCTGGAAGGGGTTTAAACCCCACCAGGTGCTGAAAGCAGGGTCTGCAGTGCTGAGGGCTTTATGCTTTATGCATGCAGAAACTTCCATGGATGAAAAATGTCTCTCTGCTGCCCCATGAGTGCCTTCAAGGTGGAAAAACCATCTTTAGAGAAACAGTATTCATGTGTATTAGGTAGAAATCAAACAATGAGGGATTCTGCTGTCTCTTTGTGGAGTGCCATAGTCAGGAAGCTTTAAAAAAAAGGTTTTTAATCTATAAGTGTTAAAGGCCAGAATACCCTAATGATTCTCTAATGGGTCATCAGAATTATGTGACCAAGGACACACTTGGCCACCTGTCAGATTTGCCTATTTGGGGATCCATCAAGTAATCCATCCATCAGATCCATGTCTCTCTAATTTAGAGACAAGGATGTCATGTGGGACAGCGTCAGATGCCTTGCACAAGTCCAGGTAGATGATGGCAGTCGCTGTTCCCTGATCCACCAGCACTATTGACCCATCATAGAAGGCCACTGAATTTGTCAGGCACAATTTGCCTGTAGTGAATTCATGTTAAATGCCCTTATTGTTCATATGCCTTAGCAGAGTTTTAAGAGGATCTGCTCCATGGTCTTGCTGGGCACTAAGGTGATCCTGGCCCCTCTGTAGTGCCCTGGCTCTTCCTTTTTTTTCCCTTTTTAAAAACAGAGGTTATGTTTCCCCTTTTCCACTCATCAGGAACTACATCAGGCTGCCACAGCTTCTCAGCTATAATGGATAATGGCTTGGCCACTTCACCCACCAGTCAGGACCTGTGGATGCACCTATCAGGTCCCTTGGACTTGTGCACCTTCAGGTTCCTTAGATGGTCTTGAACTTAATCTGCCACAGGGGTTGGTTCTCCATTCTTCCAGTCCCTGCCTTTGCCTTCTGTGACTTGGGTGGTGTGGTTGGAGCTCTTGCTGGTAAAGACCTGGGCCTTCTTCATGTCTCAGGTCTCCCATTTCCTTCTGGGGGGGCCTCACATTTTCCCTTGTCTTCCTTTTATCCCCAGTGTACCTATAGAAGCTTTTCGTGTTGCCCAGATACAAGTCCAGGGCAGTGAGCTTGCTGCACGCCTTCCTCACTGTCCTAAGGATCTTCACCATTTCATAGTCACTGCAGCCAAGGCTGCCCTTGAGCTTCACATTCCCCACCAACCCCTCCCTGTTGGCGAGGAGAAAGTCCAGTCCAGCACCTCTCCCCGTTGGCTCCACTATCACTTTATCACTTGGAAAAGGATGTTATCATCAGCGCATTCCAGGACCCTCCTGGATTGCTTCTGCCCTGCTGGGTTGCCTCCAAAAGATATCAGAGTGGTTGAAGTCCTTACAAGGATCAGCGCTTGTGAATGGGAGGCTGCTCCCATCTGTATCCAGAGGGCCTCATCCACTTAGTCTTCTCTTGGTTGGCTCCTCATCCATCCCCAAGCAGAACTCCATAGCCTCCAGCTGGTCACTGACATAGAAGGTGACACCATCTTGCTTCCCCAACCTGTCCTTCCTGAAGATAAATCCTTCTGAAGAGCCTGTGTCCTTCCATTCCAAAACTCCAGCCATAGGAGCCATCCCACCATGTCTCTGTGGTTCTAGTAGGATCATAGCCCTGCAGGCTTCAACTGGGAGGATGGATGAAAAATCCCCTGTGCTCCAGCCCCTTCACACCACTCCCAGGGATCTATAGTCCTCTTGATCCTCCTCAGATTGCTTCTGGCAGTATCTGTTGTGAATATCTGCTTGTGCATCATCCTGGAGTCTTCTCACTTGTAAGATTGTATAATATTACTATGTAAATAAATACCATTGGGTCAAAGGGGAAACTGAAACAGAGATCACAACTTATCTCTTCTCTAAGCAATATCAGGCCAGTCCACAGCTGCCAGAAACTTATGTACCTGAATTTGTGCACGTCTTTGTACATCATTGCTGAGATCATTCCTCCCTGGGTGGCAGCAGCAGCACTTGAAATGTAGCCTCTTTGTAGCCTCTTAAATGCCTAAGCATTTAGACTTAGGCCGTGGTGGTCAAATTATGCTTTCTCTTGGCAATACATTATTTTTCCCTCCAGACTTTCTTTTACCTTTAGTTTTAAACCCTTTCTTAACTGATCTCCTTTAAAACTGAAAGAAAGAAAGTGTGTGTAATAGCTTTTTCCAGCTGATGTTGTTGTTCTTGCTTCAAACCCAGTTCTAACAACTCCCCAGCCAAGCCTGGTTGCCATCCGGTGTGCTTCTAAGAAAACTGGGGGCAGCTCAAAAAATCTGGGTGGCCGCAGCCCTGGGAAGCGCTACGGGTTCAAGAAAACAGAAGGTAGGTCTGAGTATCTGCTGGGTTGGTTCCTCACGGCTTCCCCCCCACCCCAGTACTGATTGCAGTAGGAGGTGGCCAGGGCACTCTTCCAAGAGAAAGGGAAGGGGAGGTTCAGCAAAACCTCATGATCAAGGGTGGCTGGTGGGAGGGCAGGGTGAGGGAGCCAAAATTGCCTACAGAAAATGTACTTATATTCCAGCTCTGCCTCTCTGGAGCTCCTGGAAGGAGGGCAGGCAGAGGGACACTTTTGCCCCCAGGCTGCATTGGAAAGCTGGGTATTTGAGATGTTTACAAAGGGGAGAATTATGAGGCTTAGCAGAAGCCAAAGTACAGATTCATGCAGCTGAGTGCTTATAATTATTACCTTTGCTGTTGAAAACATATTGATGTAAAAGGTAGTAGAACAAATACCTTCAGCAACCAGAAAATGCTTTGCAGCCCCAAGGAATCTTTTCAAAGAGTTAACATTGCTTTTTGCCATTGTGCACCAATTGCCCTTTATTTCCTGCTAACAGCATTTTTGGTTAGATGCTTTTAGCATTTCAAGTTCATTTTTCCTTAGAAAACTCCCACCAAAAGCTGGGGTTTGTAGGTCCTAAAACCACTTGTGTTCTGGGGAGCTCTGTCTTCTCTGCAGCCTGACTCTGTCACTCTGTTGCAGGTGCCTTTGTGCATGCAGGCAACATTTTGGCTACACAGCGGTTGATACGCTGGCATCCAGGTGCTCATGTAAGTTGTTTTCTAGCTCTTCCTTGGTTCTCAGAGAACATCAGTCCTATACTTGATGCTTCTTCTCAAGATCATTCTTAATGCTCTTCCCTATATTCTATATAATTCTGAAATGGGGTTCCATGACCTGGTATTCTCTGTCAGAGAACCTTCTCTGGGTCACACTCATGCCTGTGTGACTTGGGAAAGGGTCTGAAAGTTGTGGGTATCCCCTTTTGCAACCTAACTGGATGCTTGTGCTTCAGGGTGGAGTCAGGATCTCTTCCCTCATACTGAGCACCATTGTATACTGATTGCTGGAAGCGACTAGTGTGGTTTTGTTTCAAAATACAAAGCAACAGATGCTGTTAACACCAGGATATCAAATGAGACAGAACAATGATCAGATCTGCTTCAGTGGTGAACCTCCAGCCTTTCCTTCCTAACACTCCTCATCCTCTTCCAGGTGGGGATGGGCCGTAACAAGACACTTTACGCCCTAGAGGATGGCATTGTGAGATACACCAAAGAGGTCTACATCCCTCTGCCCCGCAGCAGTGAGAGCAGAGAAGTGATCTGTCGGCTACCCAAAGGAGCAGTTCTTTATAAAACCTTTATCAGTGTCATCCCCACCACAGAAGTAGGAGAATTTAAACTGGTCACCATGCTCTGAGCCATCACACAGGAATGGATGGGAAGGAATGACTGGGACAGACCACTACAGCTGGACCGACATCAGAGGACAAGAATACCCTAGCTCTGAAGGTACCAGTTTAGGACTTGTTTTCTTGCTCCTAAAGCACACATGGGCAGTGCTCAGGCACTGGGATCACCTGCAGGCATTTCTAAGAGTGTGTAATAAATGCTGTGGGGCTGCTGAAGGCCTTGGCTGTTCATGGCATGTGTTACTTCCATTCATTTACCATCTGGAACTACCTTCCTCTGGGGAACCCGTTCCATTGTGCCACTGGATGAGTTATCTCCACAAGCACTCTCAGGTCACTAGTTATCCCACTAATTCCTTCCGTTTTTGCTCATTGTTAGATATTACTGTTGTATTTGTATCTTAATTCAAAATACTGCAGAAGTTATCCTTTTGCACCTAACTGCATCCCAGGAAGGTAGGATTTTCCTTCTAACTCATCCCAATGATTAACTCAAATATCTGGGATATAACTCAGATATCATTTACTAGCCACGAGAAGCAAGTTTGCACTTGTAAAGCTAACTCATGACTAATTGTCGAGTGCCTGGGAGGATGCACAGGCCTGGGGTGGTATTTGAAGCTCAGCCGCTGGAGGTGTAGCATAAGGCCATAATCCAGAAGACATCCTTTTTGTCTTCCCCTGAGTCATTCCCTGACATTTTTTGAGCTTCTGTTGCTCAAAAGAAAAGAGCCCCAATACCCTGTGGCCAGACTGATTTCATTTTATCTACAAGTTTGTAAACAATTTGAAACATTGGCTCTGCAGTAGAAAATAGGTTATCAAAATTGGTGGTGTAAGGACACCGGTGTGGATGCTATTAGATTGTCTGCTCTGCAGAAGATAACTAAGTTAGGTCAGCCACGCATGTCCACCTTTGCTTTACGTTCCCCATGGTTCATAGTTCACCAGCTATTTTGGCTGCATTTTTGTCCTTTCCCGGTCACACAGTTCATCTCTGTGGTTGGTATTTGCATACAGCAGCTAACACAGCTCCTGGAGCCTCTCCACATCTTTATCTGAAGTCCATACAAAAATCACTGTTGGTCACAGAGGACCATTGCTGCAGGAGCACACAGCAGTGCTCTGATGCTGACCCATTCTGCTGCTCTCAGGTGAAGATTCCCACCTGGTAGCCAATACACTGGTAAAGTAATACATTTCATAAGCTAAGAAACAAGTGAAGTAGCACAACACGGTGACTGAGGTCTGATCCTTGGTACAACTGACAGTGCTTGCCTCACAGAGGTGCAATGTGCCAGCTGCCTGAGGAGCTCTGGCTGAGCAGACCTTCATCTTGCCTTTGCCCCTTGTGCAGAAGCAAGCAGCTGGTCTCTTGCTTTTGGTAACAGTATGTTTGCCAGAGAAGAGCGAGCACACACATCCCTGGTTGCTCTGCCTGGCAGTGGCTCCGTGGTTGTCCTTGTGCTGCAGAAGGGATGTCTCTGCTGGCCAGGTCTGACCTGCCTGTGTCTCAGCTGATGGCAAACCTGGGCAAAGGTCTGATGTTTGGCCATTCCCTGCAGAGGAGAACAATGTCACAGGCACTTCTGTCACTGACACCATGGGAAGCAGCAGCACACCGAGGCCTTACACAGCTGTGTTTCGCCGAGTTTGGTAGCCAAGAGGGGCCTGGAAAGGATCTGGCATGCCACGTCTGTCCAAGGTCTCTGAGCTTATCACTGGTCCTGAGAAAGCTGGAGGATGCCTCAGAGCATGCTCATAGGGAGGCGGCATCTATTGAGGAGAGAGGAAGAGCATTACAGCGGATCAGAAATAACCAGGAGATTATCCCACCTCTTCTCATGGAGCAGATGACAAGGCTCCCAACCACCACCAGCATGAAATCAAACTCCTGCAGTCCTCCAGGCAGCAGGCTGCTAGCCAGGAGAACTGGGAGATGAGGACTTAGTACCCTTATCTTGCACCTTGCAACACAGTAGTGCATGCTGAAGAGGCACGTTCCCTCTGCTTCTGCCAGCTCTCTGTGCCAGGTTCCAGTTTCCAGTTCTTCCCTGTTCCCTTCGAGGACTTGTCATTACTTGTTACAAGACTAGAAAACTTAACTTTCATCAAGAGGACTGTCACTCACTTTCCTTTGACCAAAGATCAATTACTGGAGTTATACAAGCACCTACAAACCAGGCTTTCAACTCAGGTTTTGGTAGCAAGTCTCACTACACAGCAGCAGAGAGGAACCTCCAGGCTGTTATATGGATTTTGGCAGAGCTGAGCCACCTTTCTCCCCGTGAGGAGCCACAGGAGCAGCACAGGGATATTGTGGAAGCACTCCTCTTGCAGCTCCTCAGCTAGGGCCTTACTTTCTGCCCTTGGTACTGTGGTGTCAGAGCAGCTCTCATTAGTTACAGCTGCAAATACCAAGTAGCAAGTGCTGACTAAGCCAGACTTAGGTACAGCTTTAAGAACTCAAAATTCAGGTGAACCTTTAGTTCTCTACCTGGGGTTTCAAATGTTTCTGTTCTGCTTTAGTCAGGGAGGTCTCTTTGTTCAGTGGGAGTCTCTCAGGAGACCACAACAGGACCTACTTGGCAGAGGCCCTCGCTTTTCTCTGTTGTATTGCAGGAGTGCAGATCTTAAACAGACAAAGCCTTCTGTTCAGAAATAACACTTGAAGGTAACAGTGAAGGGCCTCCCAAAGGCAGGGAGAAGGGAGCAAGAAGTCCTGGAAGCCTCACAGATATAAAAATAACATTCCAGCTTGGACTTGTACTGAGATGATCTGAAGGGCTCACCTTCATCAGCAGCTCTGCCCTGCCTCCCGTACCCCAAGAGCTCGATCATTAACCAGCACAAATGAACAGGACTCACCTTCATCAGCAACTCTGCCCTGCCTCCCTCACCCTGACAGCTCGATCATTAACCAGCACTTTTGAACACCAAAGGAGTCTCCTGATACCCTTTGTGCCCTTCCCAGAGATAAAGGCTATCGGAGTAAGGCTATCACAGAGAACAGAGTCCTGCAGCAAGACCCAGATGCAGACCAGAAGGGGGAACTGCCCCTGGGGCCCTGCCAGCACCCCAGTGCAGGGGAGGGAGAGCTCACCTCCTGGGAAGGCTCTGCCCACAGCCCGAACCTCTCAGCAATCATCTGGTGGATCTCCCGCTGGCGATCTTTCTTCCGTACACTCTCATAGCTGGGCAGGCGCGGCTGCTCCCAGTACGGGACCTGGTACGTGCTGGGGGGCCCGACGCAGAACAGCTCATCCCCCTGGAAATGCCCAGCCAGAAGAGAAAGGTCAATGTGGTGGTGGCTGGAAGTTCATGGCTTGGTGCCACTTCAAGTTACTTCAGGGTTTGAGGTTGTAGCTGCCCTTCCTTGAACTCTGAGAGAGGAAATCCTCCCTCCTGGGAGATAATCACACCATCGCGTGCTTGCAAGACCCCAAACCCCAAGGGAGCTGCGTGGCACTTACCATGGTGTCCCTGCTCCCCACATCCCCCTCCACCACAGTTTTTACACACAGGCAGCACTTCTCAAAGCTGCTGCTGCTGCTCAGTGCCTTCTCCCTCTGCCCCAGCAGCCCCCAGGTCCCCATAACCATGGCCTTTTCACTACCATTCCCCTCCAGCTCCCATCAGGGACCCAGCTATCACCTGCACACCCGGGTTCTCAGCCGCAGCACTCTCCAAGCGTGAGGCTCTGCACTGGGGACCCACCAGCCGCTGGCTGCTGCTGAAGTAGGGTGGAGGGCAGTCCTGTAAGGAGGGGTGAGACGTTAGCAAAGCCAAAAATGCCTCTCATCTTGCTTGGCAATGAACAGAGCTGAGTTGGTTCATGTGGGCCAGCCTGGGAAGTGGGGTTCTGGCAGGGTAGAAGACCACCCTTTGGGCTGGTGGGGCTCTCACTACCAACCTTCACCTGCCTCTTTACCAATGCTAACAGCTCAGGCACATGCTCACCAGGCAGCACAGAGCCTGAGCCCAGCTGGAAGGATGACAGCCTGGGCCCAGGTTTCACTCAGACTCAGCAGAATCACCTCTTGATTCATCTATTTAGGACAATAAACCAAGCCAAGCATTCCACTAGCACAACTAAGAGCTCCATCACATGCTGAAGGTTAATGAATTTGTAAACTCTTATCTACCAAGGTAGTCATTTCAGGATAACGGAGCAAGCAAATCTGCAGAGCAATGGCTGTTCTGTTCCCGAGTAGTCCTGCTCCAGTTAAACTCAGTTGCTATCAACATGTTGAGCAAGAGTGAGCAGAGATCATCTCTCTGTAGAGAGCCTTCTCCCTGACATGCACTACAGACAGGCGAGCAGCAAGGAGGAAGGAGCAGAGGCAGTGAAGCAGGCAGGGGACACCCACAGCCTGTTCCCACTCTGATTTGTGCTGGGGACTTCCCAGCCTGTGCTGGACTATTAGATTTGCCTTTCATGACGCCAGTCTCCATTCCCTACCAGCTGAGGCTGAACATTCCCTCTTCTACTAGGGGAAAGTGGTACCTGCAGCTCTCAACAGCCATCCTGCAGCTCTGGAGGCTGAGCTGTCCCCAGGCAGCCACCAACCACCACAAAAGCAGCACTGCCTGAACATGCTGCTCTTTTCACCATCACCAGCTCCCCACTCAAAAGCCAGCCCCAGGAAATTACAGCTGTGAGCAAAAGGGCTTTTGTGTCTCACTGCTCCGTGCTGGGAGCTATGCACACGAGAGCCACTTGCTGGGGATGTGATTGGCTTTGTCTGCCTTTACCCTCAGCTTCCAGCCCCATCCCCGCTGGGCCCCTTCCCCATAATGCAGAGCCTGACCCCACCACAAATGTGCATCACGTCTCTTCAGAGATCCAGGGCACCTGCCCATATCAGGCTTTGGGAACGTTACCCCCAAAGTACAGCCAGGTTCACTGGTGTGATGGAGCTCTATGGGAGGTTGGGAACAAGGAAGAGGCGTCCTGGAGCACAGGGCAATGGAACATGAGCCCAGTAGCAGCAGGGAACTCGGGACACAAGGACACTCACATACTGGCTGGGGCTCTGGAATAAGCGGCAGGAGCAGAGAAACTGGCAACACATGGGGTCCCGGTGGTACAGGAGCAGCAGCAGGATGAGGATTGCCACGATGAAGACTGAGGTGGACACAGCTACCAGGGAAAGGAAAAGGGGAATAAGCCGTTGGGCTCCCGGGCCTCCCCACTGCCTCCTGCCTTCACCCCCGGGGTCTACACCCAAGAGCGGCTTGAAAAAGCCCCATTCAAGCCCATTTCACCGGCTGCCTGTCCCGAGAACAGCAATAACCACGCCGATAGATCCGGCTCAGCCTTATTCCAGACCGCTGCACCGGGAACCGGGCCCGGCACCCTCCCTCCCGGGGCTCTCAGCTCACACGCGGCCCCGCGGCAGGGAGCCCGGGTCTCCAGCACCCCGGCTCCCGTAGAGCCCACCCGGCACCGCCAGCCCCTCCCGCCGCTCCCCTCGGACCCGAACCCAGGGACCAGCGGTGCCCCGGAGAAGGACCGTGAGCTGTAACGACCGCATCCCCGGGCCGCAAGGAGCCGGCACAGCCCGAGGCCGCCCCCACCCGACCCCGCTCCACCGGAACCCGTCCCGTCACTCACTCGCGGCGATAACGATGGCCAGGACGTTGCTGTCCATGGCGGCGCCGGCAGCCGCCGTGTGCACCGAGGCCTCGCTGGGCTGCGCCATCCCTCCGCTGCCACCCGCACCTGCAGCCGCTGTCCGCGCCCCACCGGCCGGCGGGGCGGGACCGGGAGCACCGGGGCGGAGCCGGGCTCACCCCATTGGCCGCCGCGCCGCCCTCCGCCGTCCCCCATTGGCTGCAGGCGGGACGGGCTGCATTGGCCGGTGGTTGCCGTGGCGACGCGGCGGGGCGGGCCCCGACGGGAGGGACCGGTCTCGGTCCCGGCTTGTCCCATCCGATACACCCGGACCCCGGCTCCTCCGACCCCGCGGTTACCGGAGCATCCTGCGGTAGGGTAAGCCAGGCTCTGTGTTTGTGTTTGTCCCCGCGGGCAGGGAACGGCCGCAGCGCTGCCCCGCTCCAGGGCAGGGATTGCCTGGGGAGGCTCCGGCCCCGCCGGCACCGGGTGGTGCCCCCTCATTAGCTAATTAATTAAGTAGCTAATTACTAAATAAGCACCTACAGGACTGCCCCTCCCCGGGCACAGGCTATGGAAAACCAACGGCTTGGTGCTTAGCTGCATATTGCCATGGGGAGGAATCCCAACAAACACCCCCAGCACACCAATACACCCCCCTACCCCCACCAGCACCCCAATACACCCCTTGATAATCCATCCCCCCGGGTGCCCAGGACCGGGTACACCCCACTGGGACACCATGTTAAGGCAAAGCTCCCCACACACACCACACAAACCCATCACACCACACTATAGAGGCAGAGATATATTTGTGGAGATGTTGCATATTTAAGACAACTTTACACAACGCTTCCAACAGAGTTTTGGCGTCTCCCCCCCCACCGTGCCCTTCACCGGCAGGTACCTGCCCTTGCTGTCAAGGTCTCCGTCCTGTTTGACAGTGCACCTCATGCAGCACCAGCATCCTTGAACTGGGGAGACAGGGAGTGTGAGTCCCAGCAGAGGGAAGCCGGGCCCTGGTAGAGGGTGGAGGATGGCACCGGATCTTTGGAGATGGCAAAATGTGACTGGCCGAGGCACGGAGCTGCTGGCGCTGCCTGGAGCACAGTGGTTGGGCCCAATGAGCTCCTGCTTGTCCCCATCCCATGCAGCAAGCAATTCGCCTTCCCAGGCTGCAGGCGAGAGGTGAAGTGTCTTCCCAGGGTGAAAACCAAGCCCAGGCTTCTCCAAACAGTCAGTCTTGGAGAAAGGAATGTCACAGGCAGTCCCCGTGCCTGGGAGGATGGCAGGAAAAGGGGATGCTCCACTGCAGCCCTTCCACAAGGAGGCAGAAGCAGAAAGCACAGATGGATTCAGCTGGACCTTGTCTTGCCTCTTTGTTTTTTGGCCAGGGAAGCACAGTAGGTCCTGAGAGATTCTGATGACCCAGGAGAAAAGAAGGTTGGGCCGAAGGGCCGTGGCACAGGGCAGCGCTCCAGGCACAGCTAGCTCTCATCCGCAGCAGGACATCAGCCCAAGGGGTGGCATTTTGGCAGGGGACTGGCCCTTTGCTGGAGCAGATGGTGGCAGCAGGGTCCTACAGCAGCGTTTGGGACTGTAACCATGAACTGAGTGCTCCACCATCACAAGACACACACCAGCAGCTCCAGATGTTTGGCACCATCAAGCAGCACCCCACAACCCTGCCCAAGGGGCAGCAGGGTGGGCGTCCCAGCAGCACCCAGCAGGAAATGGGGAAACAGCAAAATAATAACCATCATCATTAACAGTAAAAAAATCATGTAAACGACCCAGCACCCTGTCCTGTAGCGCCAGGACACCCAAGAGAACATGATATGTTACAGTCTGAAGGGAGGTGGAGACACAAGGACTTCCCGGCCAACGCGGGGTCTCGTCTCTATTGCACTTTGCATCATATATATTTCTCTCTCTATATATTTATAAAAATACAAACTAAAGGGCTGGGGTGGAGGGGGTGAGATGCAAGCGCTGGCCCAGCCGCAGCTCCATGCACGTGGCACGCTTCACCCCATCTGCTTCTGCCTGTCCCCATTGCCCTGTGCCAGCCCTGCCTGGAGTAGCACAGAGCTTCATCCTGCAGAGGGTGCTGAGCTGGTCCAGAGCCTGCACATCCACCAGCCTTCCCTTGCTCCCCTATCAGCACTTCCCGAGGCTCCAAGGCCTGGAGGGACAGACACACAGCTCTCCCCAGCCACCTTCTGGCCAGCCCGTCGCGCTCTCCGTGCTCTCCCCAGCCAGCAAGAGCCCATTCCTGGGGGAGGTGGACAAGCCTCACCTCACCCCTCTGCCCAAAATCCCCCACAGGAGAGGGTTTTCCCCTACCCAGGGGTTCCCATTCTCTCTTCCTCGAGTGCCTACGGTGCAGATGGCACAGGGCGATGCAGTCCGGGGATGCCCCCCACACCAGTGACAGTGATGGAGGATGCTCCTCGCTCCCAAGGCCGCCCCCCCGGCTGCTCCTGCTACCTCAGCCGCCCGTCAGGTTTGACGGGCCCCAGTTCTGATTTGGGGTCCGGGGAGAGGGAGCTCCAGGAGGTTTTGCTGCAGGTCTCCAGGGCGGCGCAGGCAGAGGGGCTGCTCACACAGACGTCTGCCACGGACCAGAAGGTGCTGATGGCACTGTCAGCCCAGTCCTCCAGTGCCTTCCCCGTCAGCTGCGCCTTCCGCACCGCCTCCTCCTCCGCTGCCTCGGAACGTGGCAGGTTGAGGATCCCCCCCAGGCCCTGGAAGCTCTGCTCCATGTACTCGTTGCGGGGGGGACCGCCGTGCAGCCAGTTACTGTCGTCTGGGCAGGAATGGGAGAGAAGAGAGTGGGATCAGTGGCGCAGAATCACAGAATGGTTCGGGTTGGAAAGCACCTTGAGATCATCCAGTTCCAACCCCCTGCCATGGACAGGGACACCTCACTCTAAACCATGTCGCCCAGGGCTCTGTCCAACCTGGCCTTGAACACCACCAGGGATGGAACATACACAGCTTCCTTGGGGAACCTATTCCAGTGCCTCACCACCCTCACAGTAAAGAACTTCTTCCTTATATCCAATCTAAACTTCCCCTGTTTAAGTTTGAACCCATTACCCCTTGTCCTATCACTACAGTCCTTAATGAAGAGTCCCTCCCCAGCATCCTTGTAGGCCCCCTTCAGACAATGGAAGCTGCTCTGAGGTCTGAGCATCCTCATGGTCCCTTCACCACCTCCTGGTGTGGCTCAGCACCCCATCCCTTTGCAACTCCAGCTCTCCTCCAGCCTGGTGCAGCTGTGGGACAGACCTGACGACCACAGATGAGCCTGCACTGAGGACTCTATATGGCCAAAGGGACACCAGAAGACAACAGCTCCTGCAGTGTCACCAGAGAGGCTAGGACAAGGGGGACCCCAGGGAGACCCCTCCCATGAAGCCCCAGGCTCCAGCACACCCTCACCTTTCCTGAGAGGCTGCTTGCGGTTGAAGGTCTGTGGCACCACCAGGAACTGGCTCTCGCCCAGGGGCTCCCAGAACTGCAGGAGACGGATGGTCCAGACCCCGGGGCGCAGGGGCCGGTTGAGGGGGGGCTTGTAGTGGGTGAACTCTGCCTCGGCATCCACCGTGATGTCGTAGGAAGCAGCAATGATGTAGGTGGGATCGATCCACACCACTGTGGCAGTCAGGTTGGGACCCCGAGACCACTTCTGCATGGCCACCGGCTCGTCGAAAGGCCCCATCAAGCCTCCAAAGTTGCGGAAGAGTCTTTCCTTGGGATCCCACTCCGTGCCCACCTGGAGGGACAGGAGGCACAAGCGATGGGACACTGGGCAGGGAGATGCTACCAGCTCAGGTTTTGCTCCCCAAACCAGGACAGGCACAAACCTCGGAACCCAAAGCAATGCACACCCCTCTCCATGGCTCTCCTGCCTGCCTGTACCATGCCAGCACTACTCCAGCTGTATGATGCCTCCTGCAGCTGCAGACACTGAACCCCATAGCCTCAGCTCCCCCCTAAAGAGCCCTTCAAGCCTTTTCCCCACCGATCAGCTCCACGTCCCACACAGAAACCGAACCCCTGGACAAAGGTTTGTTCTCAGACATGACAGTGGCACTATGTCCCCTTGTCCCCACAGCCTGCAAGTGGAGGAAGAGGAGGAAGGGCAAAGTGGTGTGGGACAGGCTGGGAGGAAAGTGGGCATTATGAAGGGCTTTTCCCGTTTACCTCAAGGTTTTGCAAGCGGTTTGCCTGCCCTCCATGACCCGCCAGCTTCAGAGCTCCTTGGGGCATCATCCACACCTCCAGCGACTCTGCCTGCCCCGTTACCAAATTCTGCACTTCCTGCATCACCAGGTAACCCTGGAAACGGTCATCATAGAAATATAAGTGCACGCTGGATGGGAACCCACGGGGCTCAAATCTGCAGAGAGAGACAGACAGAGAGAGGTTGCACATCTGAGCATCAGCAGCATCCCAGCACAAGATGCAGGCTACGACTCGCAGCCTGCATCAAGCCCATAGCAAATACCCCACCTGCAGAGCTTGTCGGCCTTTGCTGCTGGTGTGGATGCAGCTTTGTGGAGCCCCAGCCTGGAGAAGGCTGTGTAGAAGGTGAGGGTGACATCACTGAGGCCACTGAGCCCATCGACACGGTCATAGACGTTCTCCCAGTATGCCTTCAGCGCCGGTGTGTTGGGGGGGTAGCTGCCATAGAGGTGCGTGTCCAGGATCTCCAGCACCTCCTGATTCACTGTTGACTCAAACTTGCGGGCGAAGAAGGTGGGTCTGGAGAGTTGCTGGAAGAGCAGAGGTTCAGATTAGACACTAGGAACATCTTCCCTGTGAGGGTGCTGAGGCGCTGGCACAGGGTGCCCAGAGAAGCTGTGGCTGCCCCATCCCTGGCAGTGTTCAAGGCCAGGTTGGACACAGGGGCTTGGAGCAAGCTGCTCCAGTGGAAGGGGTCCCTGCCCGTGGCAGGGGTTGGAACTGGATGAGCTTTATGGTCCCTTCCAACCCAATTCATTCTGTGGTTCTAAGATTCCTAACAGTGTTGACTGCTCCCACCCGAGCAGGGCAGCTGGGAGGGAGACATATCAGGAAGAAACATGCAGGGACCCATCCTGCCCTCTTAAGAGGGCACAGGCTAAGGAGCAGGAAAGCACAGCCAGGCCTTGTGTGCAATCC